ATTACAGCCCTTCACAAGTCCACTGCTGAACATAGGCCTCCCCCAAGGAATGCCACAAAGCACGGTCCTGAGCCACCTGCATCCATCGACTTCCTGCATATCTTACCAGGTCGTCACTCCATCTAGTGGGGGGACGCCCTACACTTCGCCTGCCGGTACGAGGCTGCCACTCGAGAACCTTTCTTCCCCATCGGTTGTCGGTTCTTCGAGCTATATGGCCAGCCCATTGCCACTTCAGCTTACTAATCCGTTGGGCAATGTCGGTCACTCTAGTTCTACTGCGGATATCCTCATTTCTGAGTTTATCACGCAGAGAAACTCCGAGCATAGCCCTCTCCATAGCTCGCTGAGTGACCTTGACCTTCCTCATACGGCCAGTAGTGAAGGACCACGTCTCAGTTCCGTATGTCATCACTGGCAACACGCACTGGGTGTACAGTCTCGTTTTCAAGTTTTGAGGTATACCTGACGAGAAGATGTGCCGTAATTTCCCGAACGCTGCCCAACCGAGTTGAATCCGTCGATTGACCTCTCGGTCGAAGTTGGACTTACCTAATCGGACTATTTGTCCCAGGTAAACATATTCGTCAACAACTTCGAGCTTAGTGTTCCCAACAACTACCGGCATAGGTGTGACATGGACATTAAACATGATCTTTGTTTTGTCCATGTTCATCTTAAGACCTATCCGTTGGGAAACACTATTGAGGTCATTGAGCATAGTGCTTAGGTCCTCCAGCGATTCTGCCATAAGGACTATATCGTCGGCAAATCGAAGGTGAGTGATGTACTCGCCATTGATGTTCATACCGTATCCTTTCCAGTCCAGAAGCTTGAAAACATCTTCCAATGCAGCGGTAAAGAGTTTCGGGGATATGACGTCACCCTGTCTTACACCTCTCTGCAATTGGATAGGTTTCGTACTCTGGTTCTGTACTCGGATAGCCATCGTAGCCCTACTGTACAAGCACTTCAACACTTCGATATACCGACAGTCAACTTGGCATCGCTGAAGGGACTGCAGCACCGCCCAAATTTCGACGGAATCAAAGGCTTTCTCATAGTCCACATACGCCAGACATAGTGGCAAATTGTACTCCTCGGACTTCTGTACAATTTGCCGAAGGGTATGTATGTGGTCTATGGTGCTAAAGCCTTTTCGGAAACCGGCTTGTTCGGGAGGCTGGAAGTCGTCAAGTCTGCGCGCGAGACGATTCGTAATGACTCTCGAAAACAGCACGTAGATGCGGCTCAGAAGGGAAATCGGTCTGTAGTTCTTCAAGAGAGCGTTGTCGCCTTTCTTGAAGAACAAGACCACCGCACTTCTGCTCCACGCCTCCGGTGTAATGCCACCATGGAGGACGGAATTAAAGAGCTTCTGAAGGACTTCAAGTACCGGTTTTCCACCCGCTTTCAGAAGCTCCGCTGTAATTCCATCCTCGCCTGGGGCCTTGCCGTTTTTAAGGTGCTGGAGAGCCATTCTAATCTCGCTCAGACTGACGTCCGGGATATCATCGGAATAATGTCGGATAAGACTCGCTCTTGGATCGTTACTCACACTTGCGTGCGGCTCCAACGATGACATGTACAGCTGCCCATAGAACCTCTCAATCTCACTCAAAATCTCAGGTGCCCCGGAAACGATGCTGCCACATTCTGTCTTCAGCTTTGACAGTTGGCGCTTTCTGGCAGACAGATCTCTGACAAAGACTTTGGAGCCTTGGTTCCGCTCGATCGCTTCTTCAATACGAGCTGTATTGATGTTGCGTAAGTCCCGCCGCATGCATTTGGAGATCTGTCTGTTCAGTTGCCTGTATGCTGTCAAATCTGTTGAAGAATGTAGCTTCATCTCCCGTCTAACAGCCATGAGATTAAGAGTGTGATCGGAGAGTTTTTGTGTTCTTCTGCGGCGGGTCTTGCAGAACTTAGCTCCGACCGCATGGACAGTTTCCACGAGCTTGTCATTCAAATCATCCACTTCATTGCAGTCTTCTAGGCACTGAAAACGGTTTTGTAACTCGAGCTGAAAGGTTTCGGGACTTTGGATTAGAGCACGAGGGGGACGGAGCGTTGACTTCATTAGACGAGGTACCTCTCCAACTTAACGTTTAGGTTCAGTGTGCCTCTAACCATTCGGTGATCGCTGCCGGTTTTCACCCTCGCAATCACTGAGACATCACTGAACAGTTGTCGTCTGGTCGTCATAATGAAGTCAATCTCATTTTTTGTCGAACCGTCGGGGCCGTATTACTTGTAGGCCACAAATACTTGTTCCGTGCTGGATTCGAGCCCATGGCTCTCAGCGCCGTGACTCATTGCTAAGCAACTGCGCCACGGAGCCTTATTTTTTAATATTGTCTTATCTAAGTCATGGATGGTACTTAAGCGCTTCTGTACTTTACTACTTGAACTGTCAAAGTAGTTCGTACAAGCAGTGAAATGTATAGATCTAATTGAATTGATGAATGAGAATTTTAAAAATGTAGGTTCGACCTTGACACAAATGTCAGTTCTATTAAAATTATGTCATATCATTTGTGGATAGTTAATTAAGACCTGCAATTTCAGTTGTCTTTATTTATGTCACGATGCGATAGTTATTTATATCATTGTCATCTATAAATTATAATGTGAATCAATGAGAGTGTATGTAGGTCACTCAATAAGTTTTGAGATATACACAAAGTATTCTAGATACTATTAATATTTATTTTAAATCTTTTCAAAATATTCTCCATCATACTCTATACAAAGACAAAGTTCCATTCGCCTAAATCAACTTTGAAAACACTTTTGCCAGTCTTGATCTGACAGGTCGGAAATCGCTTCTTCGTAGGCAGCCACGGCTTGTTCGACGCTTGAAAAAAACTTGCCTTTTATTTTTTCTTTGAATCTTGGGAACAAAAAGAAATCACAAGGAGCTAAGTTAGGGCTGTAAGGTGGGTGGCTTAGAGTTTCAACACCAGATTCCTCAATAAATGCTTTTGTTCTAAGGGAGGTATGTGAAGAGGCGTTATCATGATGCATGATTCCCCGAAGCCCGGTCTTTGGTCTTCTCTCCCGCACAGCTTGAAAAGCTTTGGGTAATGCAACTGTAGTATACCATTCAGAGTAGACTGACATACAATTTTCCAGAATTGACGTCGACAAATGTCCGCTTCGCGAAAAAAAAATTGCCACCATTTTTTCCGACGTTGCGATGTCTTTGCAGTTTTGTCGGTAACTATCCTTCTGAGCAGACCCATAAAGATGATTGCCTTTTATTTTCCGGATCATATTGATAGATTCATGTCCCGTCCCGACCAGTAACAATTTCTGAAACGCACCTAGATGCCCCGTTTTCAAAACGTAGACGCATTTATGGCACCAATCCACACGAGTCTGATTTTCGCTTTCGAAGAGCAAACGAGGGATCCATCGACAACAAAGCTTCCTTACTCCAAGTTGTTGATGTAGGATGGTATGAATGCTCGTCGAACTAATGCCTACAATCTTTTCGATGTCCGTATACGTGATTCGTGGGTCTTCTCGCACCAACATTTCAGTAGTACATAAATTTTTTTTGCCGTTACGATTTTTTTTAAGATTAATTTTACACCTTTTGAATTCAGACAACCACCTAAAAATTGTTGCGCGTGATGGAGCTGACTCAGCTAAAGCTGTATGTAACCGTTGTAAACTTAATTGTTCGGTTAAATCATATTCAAAATCATAATATATCATAGCGCGCAAATGTTCACGGTTAAGACCCATCGTTTTAATTAAATGAATAGAAGAATAGAATAGAGTGATATCAATGACGCAACAAATCCAAAATCGCCAGTGTGGCATTATTTAAAAAAATCGAGATGGAAGCGATTTGTTATATATTTTGTAAGTTTATAGATTTTGAAATACTAAAGATATGAAAAAGAAGCTTGGAAATACTAGAAATAAATAAATATTTGTTTTTGATTTCACTTTGTCACATTTTACGTTTTTAATAAAGGTACCTATTTAAAAATGCTTTAACTAAAGTAATCGCTATTCTCAACTCAAGTGATAAATATCAAACGACGCAGGGACTGTAAATAGTTAATACGAATAGCTCAAAAACTGAAGTACAACTAAATTGATATGATAAATTATTATTAACCCGCGTTACTCGGGTCTTTATTCATCTTTATCTAACGGTTGTCGGTGTCTGTCTAGAATTTAGTGATTAACTCCACTTACTAATTCGAGCAATTTATTGATATATTATGTAATATCAATAAACTGGTTAAGTATAATAGTCATAAAGTTAGAGTGATATTATTTAATGAAGATTGTCTATACGCAAACCAAAAATATATAACTACGTATTACGTTTAGTAATAATAATTATTTTGGATATAAAAATAATTAGTAAGAAATGACACAGCTTCGTTCCGCCAATTCGAGTTGCGTAACTCGAGTACTATTCGAGTTACGTGAATTTTTACTCTAGTTAACTCGCGTCGAGTTTCTTCCGAATTAGTACATCTTTGCTACAATTTTTGTTAATATTACATTAGACCAATAGAACCAATGACCTGAACACAAATATTGTTACGAGCTTGGGGTTCGAGACAATTAAAAACTGCCGATTGAATTACCAAAATTGACACTTTACTTACACAACACTAATTACAATCTAAAATCACACTAATAATAAAACACAGTTCGCCGTTATTTCGCTTCGAAGTATTCTCTTGTATCGCTAATTCAATACTGCCCCGGTCGTGGTCTATACCGGCCTTATATAGGGCCTCAGATAGTTTCCAGAACCTTCTACTGTAGCGACATCTAGAATGTTCGAGTACATATCGGTCCCGAAATTTCTGGAAGGATCTCGACTCTCCTAGTTCTGCTACTCGACACTAGAGGGCGCTAGTGTGACTAGTGTTGCCATGTACAAGACATTAATAGTGGCGCGCAATACTTTCATTTACTCGACATTAGGGGGCGTTAGTGTAACTAGTGTTGCCATGTACAAGACATTAATAGTGGCGCGTAACACTGCCCCCTCCTAAGACATGCTCGTCCCGAGCATTATTGGCCCCATAATAACGCGCCAGTCGATCCACATGGACAATCTTAGGAGTACCTCTGGCACCTTTCTGTATCCGGTAGGTTACATCATTGATCCTTGTCACAATCCGGTACGGTCCGTCCCATTTAGCTTGAAGCTTAGGAGATTTCCCTTTGCTGCGAACTGGATTGTGTAACCACACTAGTGAACCTTCATCAAAGCCCTTGTTGTTCATTTTGCGGTCATACCGTGTTTTCATCTTCTCAGACGTTTGCTGGCCCGTCTGTCTGACGTGCTCATAAATGTCATTCATTTTGTTCCGCAAGTCATTTGCATAATCGGTTATACTGCGTGGGGCATCAGGTGGTATTCCGGTGATCAGGTCTGCAGGCAGCCGCAATTCTCTCCCAAAGTTTGCGAAAGCTGGTGTCACTGATGTACTTTCGTGAACAGCGCTTCGATATGACAACAAAAACGGTTGTATGTGCCTGTCCCAGTCTCGTTGCCGTTTTTCCACAACTTTTGCTAGGTACCTCTCCAATGTCTGATTAAATCTTTCTACCATTCCATCAGATTGTGGGTGGTAAGAAGTTGTTCGTGTTTTCTGAGTACCCATAACTCGGCAAGTTTCCTGGAATATTTGAGACTCACAATTCCTTCCTTGATCGCTGTGAATCTCTAAAGGTACTCCAAAACGACAGAAGACTTCATGAACTAGTTTATCTGCAACTGTTGAAGCTTCTTGATTTGGAATGGCGAAGACTTCTGGCCACTTAGTGAAGTAATCCATCACTACCATGAAATACTTGTTACCACTTTCAGTTTCTGGAAACGGCCCCGCAACGTCAATGGCTATCCTCTCCCATCTCTCCTCTCCAAACCGTTCTCGGATCTTCAGGAGAGTTCGTTTAACTCCCAGGTGGCTTTCTGAACAACCACTATGGTACAGCTGTAGAATATCCGGCACTTTAGCCTTAGGGACAACCATTTGCAAATGACACCTGTCTCCCTGACCATTTTCCCATTTACGGCACAGGACTCCATCCTGAATCAGCAAGCTGTCCCATTGGGCCCATAGCTTTTCGTGGTCGAACTTATTGCTGAGACGTCGCTCCACTTGGGCTTAGGAGCACTGGCCTTCATCCATTCCAGAATCGGCTTAATGTCCGAATCTTCCTGCTGTGCATGTTGTAGGCTGTCCTTCCACTCATTGCTGAGCTGGTCTGTCCTGAGCATTCTCACAGATACCACTTCCTTACCCTCTTGCCTAGTACAATGATTGCAATCTTCAGGGCAAGGTCTTCTTGACAATGCATCTGCATTGCCATGAGATTTCCCGCTGCGATGTTCGATCACAAAGTCATATTCCTGCAGTAGTTCTATCCATCTCGCAACTTGTCCTTCCGGATTTTTGAACTGCAATAGCCATTTCAGTGCAGCATGGTCAGTTCGTAAGTGGAATTTCCGCCCTAGAAGATATTTGCTAAAATGCTGCAAGGACTTTACCACAGCAAGCAATTCCCGTCTTGTGACACAATAGTTCCTTTCCGGCTTTGACAACGACTTGCTGAAGTACGCTATCACAATCTCTTGATCACCATTCCGTTGAGACAACACACCGCCAAGTCCTATATCACTTGCGTCTGTGTCAACTATGAATTCCTTGCCCGCATCAGGGTACCCCAAAATAGGTGTTTTGCACAGGCGGTTCTTGAGGTCCTGGAATGCAATATCGCAACTTTCATCCCAGCAGAATTGTCGCTTCTCCTCGGTTAGCTTGTGCAGAGGTTTGGCTATATCTGCAAAGTTCTTCACAAATCGCCGATAATAAGAGCACAAACCCAAAAATGCTCTAACCTGTGTCTTGTCTTTTGGGACCGGCCACTCCTTGACAGCAGCAATTTTCTCTGGATCCGTGCGGATACCTTCTTCCGACACTACATACCCCAAAAAACTAACTTGCCGTTTGAATAGTGAGCACTTCTTTGGACTCAACTTGAGGTTGGCACTCTGGATCTTCATGAGCACGCGTTCCAGGTTTTGAAGGTGTTCCTCAAACGTACGGCCTACGATGATGATGTCATCCAAATAGACGAGACAGGCATCTCCAATTAGCCCGGTAAGTACAAGCTCCATCAACCTTTCAAACGTTGCTGGAGCATTGCACAATCCAAACGGCATGACTTTAAATTGCCACAGGCCCTTTCCTGTGGAGAATGCAGTTTTCTCCTTGTCCTTAGGGTCGATTTCAACCTGCCAGTAGCCACTTTTCAGATCCAGCGTACTAAACCACTTTACGCCTGTGAGCATATCCAGCGTGTCATCAATTCTAGGCAAGGGATAGCTGTCCTTCTTCGTAACGTCGTTCAGGCGGCGGTAGTCAACACAAAACCGCATGCTGCCGTCCTTCTTCTTTACCAGCACCACAGGTGAACACCATGGACTAGATGAAGGTTCAATAACACCATCCTTCACCATTCCCTCAATCATGGTTTCCACTTCCTTTTCACGTGCTACAGGCAATCTTCTTGGCCGCTGACGAATAGGCAATTCTTGTCCTGTGTTTATTTTGTGTTGAACTAAGCCAGTCTTTCCTATGTCAGCTTCGTTTGACGAGAAAACATTGGCGTACTTGAGTAACAACTTCTTCGCCTTGACCATTTCATTCGGGGAGAGAACGCTGCGACAGTCTTCTAAAAGTGTGGTCACTCTCGTTTGTCCATCCTTGCTAGGGGTCCTGGTCGATAGATATTCGCACCGACGCAACCAGTCCACTTCCTCACTAGTACCAACCAATGTGCCTTTTTCTATAATCTGTTCCTGATCACAAAGGTTCAACACACGTACTCCTGAGATGTCGGTGGTTTTGACCAAGGTTCGAGCCACTTTCCATGGAAGGTCATTGTCTACCCTTTCCACGAGTACACAACGATGAGCTTGCCCAGGACTCCGAGGAAGACTAACCGGCACAATCGTTTCCGATCTCGGCGGAAGAACAATCTTCTTAAGGCTGTACACATTCCCTGGTAACGCCCCTTCCATGAAAAGTTCTTCTTGTCCACATTTCAAAACACCTTGCTTAACGTCGATCTCACAACAATTCTTCCTCATAAAGTCTAGGCCCAGGATGCAGTCGTCCATTATATCAGCCACGATGACATTATGCAGGTAGATCATGTTGCCTAGCTTCAACTCCATCTCCTTCTCTACACGGACGGGTATGCGCTGACCAGTGGCTGTCACCAAATTAATGCGTTCTCGGTTGTATGCGGAGTCACCAAGGAACCGACTTATAAGTTGGGAACTGACAACCGTGCGAGAGGCTCCAGTGTCTATGGTCAGTTTACATGGCGTTCCGTTGACTTCGCCCTTGATGATTAGGCTGTTCCCATCATGAGTTTGTGAGATCGAAATCCTTGGGGCTCTTTTAACATCAGCCAGCACCCGCCAGTTTCCCTGCTGCTGCTGGGCGGTGCTATTATCCACACTACCCTCTCGAGATCGATCACCTTCCCTTTTTACAGTTCGCTTAGGGCAGCTGGATCGAAGATGGCCCCTTTCTCCACAGCCGTAGCACCTAGGGCTGTAGCTTTTATTGCGGTCCTGAACTTTAGCTGCTGCAACCTCCCTGACGCGGTGGGAACGATGATCCTGCCGCACGGCTTCCACCTCCAGTGCATGGGTCAAGGCGTCCTTAAGCGTCTCGTGGTGCCCGAGCCTCACAGCAGCTCTGACTTCAAGGTCGCGGATACCGTCGATGAAAGTCTGCACCAGGTTCCCTACAATGAGCACAGGTACAGACTGGTACGCTTTTCGAACCAGCTTCTCCACCTCAAGAGCCCACTGCTGCAGGTTTTCGTTACTGCGTTGAACGCGATCTTTGAGCTGCGCACGAAAGACGTGTTCCAGGTGAGCATCGCCATATCTCGCCTCTAATGCCTCAAGGAGCTGCTCGTAAGTCACTTTCTTACCGAGCGCTTCCAAAACAGTTAAGGCCTGGTCGCGTAGGCCTAGGGTGAGAGCAGTCATGGCCTGACTTTTATTCCAGCCGTTCGCTTTCATGACAGCCTCGAACTGGATTTTGTAGGCCGACCAGGAAGAACTCCCGTCGAACGGCGGCACTTTGAATCCACGTAGCGAAGGTGTTGTAGCTACCACGGGAGCTGTGATTCCATCCCCAAGTTTGAGGTCGTCCAGCGTTTTCTTCACATCAGCCATCACGTTGTCAACCCGATTGTTCACTTGGTCGATTCGGGTTTCAGCTTCCGACAGGCGGTTATCATGTTGAGCAACCCTATCCTTCACCTCCTTTATCTCTTTCCCAAAGGTAGCGTGAAGGTCCTTCCTGAGGAGCATCTGTTCTTCCATACCGCGCTGCAGCTGCTCTTCCAGCCGACGGGTCTGTTCCTCCTGTCGGCGAGCCTGTTCCTCCTGTCGGCGAGCCTGATCCTGCAACATCATCATCAGAGCACCTAAGTCAGGTGCTGCAGATGCAGGAGCTGCTGACGGGCCGGCCTCCGTGGTTAGCAGCTGCCCCTCCGACGTTTGCGGCGTTGCATTACCAATTCGTCTCTGGTCCGTCTCCTGTTGGCGTTGACTTCGGGTACGGATACCCTCCGTGTCGTCTTTAGGTAAAATCGGCATATTTGATCCCACTTCTGACACCAATTGTTACGAGCTTGGGATTCGAGACAATTAAAAACTGCCGATTGAATTACCAAAATTGACACTTTACTTACACAACACTAATTACAATCTAAAATCACACTAATAATAAAACACAGTTCGCCGTTATTTCGCTTCGAAGTATTCTCTTGTATCGCTAATTCAATACTGCCCCGGTCGTGGTCTATACCGGCCTTATATAGGGCCTCAGATAGTTTCCAGAACCTTCTACTGTAGCGACATCTAGAATGTTCGAGTACATATCGGTCCCGAAATTTCTGGAAGGATCTCGACTCTCCTAGTTCTGCTACTCGACACTAGAGGGCGCTAGTGTGACTAGTGTTGCCATGTACAAGACATTAATAGTGGCGCGCAATACTTTCATTTACTCGACATTAGGGGGCGCTAGTGTAACTAGTGTTGCCATGTACAAGACATTAATAGTGGCGCGTAACAATATCAAAACAATTCTTTTTTCCTGATTTCTTGATTCCGTTCAGATTTTTATATAATCTTTATGCTACTCACAATAATAAATTGGTATCTTATATAGTACCATTAGGTGTCGCGTGAATTTTTAGTGGGCTCAAAAACGATTGACTCCTTTATCAGAGAATATTTCGATGGCAGCAAAGTAAAAACGGACATCTACGAAATCGCAATTTTACAGGAGAGCATCTGCCTGATATCCGTTTATACGTTATGATAAAAAAGCGTTCATTTCATTTAAAATATGTAATAAACTAAGATAATAATCTCCATTAATTCTTTTAAGGATATTTAAAGAAAATCTAAGCAACACGCAAACAGTATTCCTCTTTTTTGACGAAATTTTGCAGATGTTTTTATTTACTTTGCATTAATATTTTATACATTATCAATAAATGAGTTACATACCAGGCGGACAAATTCAAATGTCTGTTTCTACTGCGATGTTTTTTTAAAATCGAAGGTAGATGTCTTCATTTACGTGCCAGATTTTCTTCAATATTATGAAATTTGAAATAATTTCACAAAGAGTATATAAATTGGGAGCTCCTAAGCAACTTATATCTATGATAGTATTACTTTCATCACATATATCTTGAACCCATTTAATTTTTTCACTTCCTTTTAAAAAAAATCTTTTTATCTTTTAAATATGTCTTTATAATTCTGTGAAACTCTCTATAATCAATAAAGCCCTCACTCCAACGATACCTTCTGTGCTTTTCAATCCAGCCAATTTGTTTTTTCTCTTCAGGAGATAGTGAATTGAATGGGTAAGGAGGTTTAATTAGGAATATATAGGTATACTCTAGAGTGGCTACAGCAAACTCATTTACTATAAATTTATTTTTGCTATTTTTGAAGCCTTGAAGATCGACGATTATTGTATTGCTATTCATGATATTTTCTTAACGATATTACCCAGTGGTATGTATTCGAATATACAGTCGTTTGATATCAAGCAAAAAGCGGTTGTCTGATCTGGTATTTCTTGGTCTGTTTTGATTTCAACTCTCACATCGATCGAACCTTTTAAAGTTTCGTGTTATCTTGAACAATCAATGACAAATAATGAAGCCATGTCTCTGAACTCCTTTAAACCCATCAACGGCTCAGACCGGCGTCCATGATACGACTGTTGAAATCTCGCATACTGATTGTATAATAAAGTAAACTTATCTTCAGAAAAACTGACATTCAGCCCCTCATAAGGATAATATGATGAATTCAAAAAGACTCTTACATCTCGTACGTGACAATGATCAAACTCTGCCATTGATAATTTCGCGTTATGTTTGCGGTTGGTTTGCAAGGCAATGACCACAAATCGTGGTTTCTCTATTTGCGATGAAGTTTTTATAGACCAAGTATGTTTACGTGTTTTGGGTAGCAATGGATATTCATATAAGTCCCAGGAACGGAATGCCAATGGAATAGCTCTATCTTTCTCTAAAAGTTTTAATAGGCTAATTCTTTCAGGATCTGATACTTTGATGTGTGGAACTCGCCAAACTATTTTATTTATTATAATATCTTCTAAAACTTCACCAGTATTTAACTTGATCGCATTAAGATTTGTATTGCTTCGTAATAATACTAACTCATGTTTACAATTCATTATAATTTTTTCATAATCTTCTGCAAATCCTAATATCTTGTTCAATGGTATAGATGCGGAAAACGCTCCAACACTAGTATCGCCGGTTGACCAGCCCCAAACTCGAGCACATTTGGATTCATTTTCATTCAAGGATAGATAAGATTTTATTGTAGTAGTGACACCAGCATTCTTAATTTTATCTATTTCTACTCCATTAAGTTCATATCGTATGTCTTGAAAAAGAAATAGCACGGGGTTATTGACAAAATGTACGTTTGTTACCTTTTCTTTTGTGGTGCTGTTATAAACGTTCACCTTTCCCTCGATATATAAACTACTGAGTGAAGGTAGTACGTACAGGTCTTGTTGATTAATAGGAATACGTATTTCATCATTCTTGTTAAAACTAGTTACATATGGTTTGTATGAATGATACTCAAAACTTTCAATGCTGTTATCGTATGATGTTTGTTAAGATATGTTTAAAATATTCATTTTATCAAGTCAACTAGCTTAAGAAATTCTTTGTTAGTTGCTTTTTCCAGTAATTCCTTAAAATTTATTGACAAAGATGTCCACAGTTTGTAGCACCAAACGCTTGATGTCGTGCATAATTATAATTAATAGGTAAGTTATGCGTATATTTAACTAATTCTAACGGGGGATTTAAATTACCAAAACTATCATAATATTCTACGTATTTATTGTGCTTTACAAAGGCTACTCAATGCGTTCC